TTGAGAGCTACATTTTTCTTCCTCAGACCCTTACTAAGAGTCAGTTGAAACCAGGCATTGTGGTAGATACCTGTAGTCATAGTTACGCAGGAGACAGAGACAGGAAAATCACTTGAGCCCAGGAGTTCCAGACTGCTGTGTACTATGGTCACACCAATGAGTAGCCACTGCATTCCAGCCTGGGTACCATAGTGAAACTCCATCTTGTACCTTAAAAAAATACACACACAAGCCAGGTACGGGGGGTTCTTGCCTGTAATCCCAGCACCAGCACTCTGGGAGGTGGAGGTGAGAGAATTGCCTGAGCTCAGGGGTTTAAGACCAGCCTGGGCAATATGATGAGACCTTGTCTCTACAATAAATAAATTTTAAAAAATTAGCCGGACGTGGTGGCACGTGCTTGTGGTTCCAAGCTACTTGGAAGACAGAGGCAGAAGGATCACCTGAGCCAGGCAGGTCAACGCTCCGGTGGCCCTGAGTGTGCCACTGCACTCCAGCATGGGCAACAGAGTGAGACTTATACCCCCCAAAATACAGACACAAACACACACACTCACACATGAATGTTTATTAAAGCCTGTGGACAGTGCTGACTAAAAAAAAGAATCAGTTGAAGCCTGTTTATATCCATTGTACTTTTCATAATTATGTAATTTAATAAGATATTATACAAAGCACTGAAATTAGTGTAAAAAGAAGAGGAATTATTTATGTGAAAACCACATAGAATGTTTTGGAATGACTTACTAAGGTGAAATGCTAAAAGCATTTTTAAATGGCTGTTGAATTATGGGTGAGTAAAACCTAGGCAAAATAAGTAGGCCATTCAGAACACATTTTTACCCAAAGGATCTGCATACTGATTGCTTTACAAGTGTATTCCAGTTCTTGCTTCGCTGTAAAGAGAACCACATTAAATTGCAAATATCTCATGAATGTAATTTGATAGTGAAGACAATGTGGAACTCCTATCATTAGAGCCACATTTAATGACAAGGCCTTGGCTTTCTAACACACAATAGTTAACATACTTTATATGTTTTAAATTTTTTAAATGTTGGAGATATATGTATGTTCTTTTTGTGATTCCTCACTTAAAGCAACATTTTAAATTAGCCTACCAACCAGTTCTAATTCTGTCATTTTTGAGGCTTTTACTATACAGTGAAATTCACGTAGAGATTTAGATGTAGTTGTTCACTGAAACTTGATTATAGTAAAAAACACATAAATAACCCAAGGGTTTATTAATGGAAACAGTGAGATTATAATATATTCAAAAGATGGAATAATATATAGCTATTGAAAGTCATGTTTTCAGATGTTATCTGTTAACAAAAATGCTCATAAAATGTGAAATACAAAGAGCAGGGTACAAACCAAAATAAAGTATAATCCCAATCTTTTAAGAATTTATATGTAAAAATGTAACATGTAAATTGTGTGCATACTTAATTGGAAGGAAATGAAATGAACCAAGAAATTGATAGTAGTTTCTCCAGATACTGGAATTGGAGGTGTTTTGTTTTGTTTTTTGTCTTTTTCTGAGTCAGAGTCTCACTCTTTTGCCCAGCCTGCACTCCAGTGGCATGAAGTGGCACGATCACGGCTCACTGCAGCCTTGAGCTCCTGGGCTTAGGCAGTCCTTCCACCTCAGCCTCCTGAATATCTGAGACTACAGGCACGTGCCACCATGCCTGGCTTTATTTTATTTTTTCATTTTTTGTGGAGTCTCACTATGTTGCCTAGGCTGATCTCTAACTCCTGGCCTTAAGCAATCCTCCTGCCTCAGCTTCCCAAAGTGCTGGAATTACAGACTGAGCCATCATGGCCTTCTTTAGAGGTTTTTTATAATTGTGCTCTCCCTACTTTCTTCTGCTTTCCAGATGTTCTTTGAGTATGTGTTATTTGTTAAAAGTTGGGGGAAATTTTTGTAAGAAAGAATTCCGTGATTGGCAATTTTAGAAAAGTACTTGTATTCCTATCAGTCTGGCTGTTTGCTCAGTGTGTTTCATTCTGTATCTCTGTAAAAGAACCTTTAAAGTTCCCAAAGGAGAAGACGGGCACAGGCATGACTTATTTGCCCTGGGGCTGCTTTGGAGTTTATTGACAGACTGATATTTTTAATTTCTGAGACCCAGCAGAGATATCACCTATGAATTAAGCATTTATGACTGCCCCCACCCTAAACCCAAGACTGAATTACATAATTTAATCAGTATTACATAATCTTTGAGGCCCTTATTTGTACTCTGTTGTATTTTATTTTATTTTATTTTTTATAAACAGTGCAAGTATCTTTCTCTTCCACCAGCCATACACTACATGCACCTTAGAAGGAAGATAGGATGGCCTACCTTTGTATTCTTAGTACCTGGCACAGACTTTGCTCCTCGTAATTCACTAAAAGACTTGAACAAGTTTACAATACTTGTTCCCACAATATACAGATTTCCTGAAGGAGCATGTAAGGTTGTTTGAAGATTATCAGAGTTGACAGTTAAAAAAAAGAGTTCTCAAGGCCTACACTGAAACACAGCACAGTCATTGAAGAACATCAGTGGCAGGAAGGCAGCCTATCAACAGCGAACTTTGAATTTCGACTCATGATTCTGAACTGTTTTCACAGTAGAATCATGTGTGATGGGCATATAAATAGTTGTAGCTAGGCATAGTGGCACATGCCTGTAGTCCCAGCTACTCAGAAGTCTTAGGTGGAAGGCTCACTTAAGCACAAGAGTTTGAATCCAGCCTGGGCAACAGAGCAAGAACCTGTCTCTTCTATTTTTTTCAGAGACAGTGTCTCACTCTGTCACTCAGGCTGTATAAGACCCTGACTCTTAAAAAAAAAAGAAAAGAAAAAAGATGTAGCCATTTAGGAAAAACAATAACTATCAAATTTAAAATAATGTTTCTCAATAGGAGATTGTAATATTATACAGCCATTATTTATTTATTTATTTATTTTTTGAGTTGGAGTCTCACACTGTCACCCAGATTGGAGTGCAGTGGCCGCTTCTGGCCACTGCAGCCTCGACCTGCTGGGCTCCGGCGATCCTTCTGCCTCAGCCTTCCTAGTAACTGGAATTACAGGCACACGCTACCACGCCCGGCTAATTTTTTGAATTATTGTAGAGATGAGGTCTCGCCTGCCCAGGCGGGTCTCGAACCCGTGGGGTCAGGCAATCCACTCACCTCAGCCTCCCAAAGGCACAGAATTACAGACTGAGCCACCGAGCCTGGCTTGTACAGCCATTATGAAGGAAGTGGATCTATTTGTATTTATGATACTGATGGCTTTTATTTGTTAAATTTATAGGCCAGGCACTGGCCATACATTTGAATGTTTTATCTAATAACTCTCATGGCCACTATATGGCAGGTATTCTTGTTATCTACATTTTGCACATGAAGAAATTGAGGCACAGAGGCTAAATAACTTGCACACGTTCACACAGTTAGTGAAGGGCAGCCCTAGTATTCAGATCCAGGTAGTCTGAGGTCAAAGAGTATGCTGCACTTTTAGCTTTTAAAATGCACATCCTCTTTTCTACTAATGGAGGAAGAAAATTAAGATACGTTTGTGTATTAAATGAAAAAGCAGTTCAGAACTGAATGTATAGTACACTGTCATTTATGTTTTAAATTTTTTTTAAAATGACAGCATACACTTGGAGGATACCTGAGAAACTTACCAGTGATTCCTTATCGGAGGGGATGGGTGGCCTGTTACCTTTCACTTTATAACTTTCTGTCTTGTGGATGGTTTAATAATAGGTATCTATTACTTGTATAAAACAGAAAAAAATTGTTTTGAGTCAATCTTACTCTGTCGCCCAGGATAGAGTGCAGTGGCACAATCATGGCTACCACAGCCTACACCTGCTGGGCTCAGGCATCCTTCCACCTCAGCCTTCCAAGTAACTGGAACCACAGGTGTATGCCACCACACCCGGCTAATTTTTTTATTTATTGTAGAGACGAGGTTTCGCCACGTTGCTCAGGCTGATCTCGAACCCCTGGGCTCACACAATCCTCTCGCCTCTGTCTCCTCAAGTGCTGAGATTACAGGTGTGAGCCACTGTACCTGGCTTACTTGTATAAAATTTTACAAAGATATGTAACTGAAATGCTGAAAAGTTGTAATATTTAATGAAGTTGAGATCATGAGTAACAAATGTTTTCCCTGTCCACCCGGGCTTCCCCTTGTCCTGATGTCCTACCACCAGCTCACTTCAAAATGGATTGCCTCTGGGGTTCATTGCTTATCTGATCCCACTTTAAATACTTTTTGATTGACAGAGCACCTCATGTATATTTTATCCTTTTAAATTCTGTAAATTTTTATTGTTTCCCAAAGGATTTGAAACCGCTTACAGTAAGATAAAGCTAATGATGCCTATTATAGGTACCCTGGAAGTGGACAGAAATTAAAATATTCTGAATTCTGTTGTTCTTGTGAATTTTTGTTTAAAGAAACCTTTTCTGATTCTACATTTTGAGAAGAAATTTATTTCATGGACTCTTTTATGCAATTTATACTTTTCTGGTTTTCTTGTTTTGCTGTTTTTGTCTACTCAACTAAATTATAAGCTTCCTCAGGACAAACTCCATTTTTCAATACTATTTTTGTTCTGTCTCTGCTTAGAAAACATGCACTTATTATTGTGGTTGAAATGATACATTAAGCAGCAATTGCAACACAGCCACATTTTGCAGATATTGTCACCACCTCTTTTCAAAGAGGTAATCTTTGAGCAGTTTAAGAGTTGATACTACTTTCATCCCCCTCAGCAGGGAATCCTTCTATGATAGCCTTCAAAAAATTCAGTTTATTTCTTTGTGTGTAGCTTTTACTGAGTTCTGTCATCTTGTAGCCCAAACTTTATAGCTGAGCACCTGGTGTGAAGAACTGGAAATGTGTCTGAACTTTTGTTCTGTGAAAGTAAAATCCTTTAAATATGACATGTAGCTTTCAACTACCTTTTTCTTTCTCTTAGGCCAAGTCATCAAGGCATGGGACATTGGAGTGGCCACCATGAAGAAAGGAGAGGTCTGCCATTTGCTGTGTAGACCGGAATATGCATATGGCTCAGCTGGCAGTCTCCCTAAGATTCCCTCGAATGCAACTCTCTTTTTTGAGGCAAGTATGTGTGTGATGTTGCCTTGTCAGCATCTGCTCTACAATAGGAATGGCTTTGAAGCAACAGGCAATGGAAAAAGAGCTAAGCTTGCTATTGAGAATCAAATCCAACTTATTTATTTTGGAGCTTGGCTTCTTGAATTGTTTCCCACAAACCCAAGGGGTGTGTGCCAACGCTTTCTTAGAAACGTATTTCTGGCGTGAAAAGGTCATATCCAAATAAACAAAAGACACTACACTTAGAAATAAAGGTTCTGGTTAGTGGTGTGAAAGTGACATACTCAAAATTGACCAGAATACAGTTCAGGAATGTTGGAGATAATGTTGAAATATTCTTGTACCAAGTTGCAAGGTATTTTCATATTATAAATATCACAGATCTCACATCTTCATTAGAAACAGTTGGTGATGATAGTATTTATTCATTCTGTGTTGAATTACACATATTTGGCAAAACCTGGTTTTTAAGAACTATCCTAACTGTTAAAATACACCTGTAGTCAGTTGCAGGCTAGATTCATAGGATTTATTTATTTATTTGAATGAGAGTCCCACTGTCACCCAGATTGGAGTGCAGCTGCACACTCACAGCCACCACAGCCTCGACCTGCTGTGTCAGGCAATACTTCTGCCTTCCAAGTAGTTGGAACCACAGGTGTGCACCACCACGCCTGGCTAATTTTTTGATTTAATGTAGAGATGAGGTCTCACCAAGTTGCCCAAGCTGGTCTTGAACCCCTGGTCTCAGGCACTCCTCTTGCCTCTTCTTCCCAAAGTGCTAGGATTACAGGCGTAAGCCACAGTGCCTGGCTTGTAGAATTTATTCTTACGTGTTAAGATGAGAATTCCGACCGGGCGTGGTGGCTCAGCCTGTAATCCCAGCACTTTGGGAGGCTAAGGTGAAAGGATTGCTGGAGTCCAAGGGTTCGAGACCAGCCTGGGCAACCTGGTGAGACCTAGTCTCTACAATAAAGTACAAAAACTAGCTGGGCATGGTGGCATGTGTCTGTAGTTCCAGCTACTTGAAAGGCTGAAGTGGAAAAATCACCTAAGCCCAGCAGATCCAGCCTGCAGTAGCCATGAGCGTGCCGCTGCACTCCAGCCTGGGAGACATGGGTGAGACTCCAACTCAAAAAAAAAAGAAGGGAATTTGATAAATCCAGGATGGAAAAGTGGTGATCTTGGAGTCTGACAAAACAGTTCTGCACCAGCACCTTTTTACTCTGGCTTTTTGCCCACGGGCAGTTTCCTAGTGTTTCCTGTCTTTGCACTGCAGCTCTCAGGATGTGGTCCTAGACGTTATCATTACAGGAAATTCTTTCCAAGTATAGAAAAGTGGTGTATTCTTTTTTCCTACTTTTTCAATAACTAAGATGCACAGATAAATATATATTTTAAAAAAGTTATATTTTGGTAAAATGAAAGGAGAATTGGTTGCTCTTGCAACCATATGTTAAATTGGCTTTACTTGGTCTTTTCTCAGCCAAATTCCTTTTTCCTTTCTAGATTGAGCTCCTTGATTTCAAAGGAGAGGATTTATTTGAAGATGGAGGCATTATCCGGAGAATCAGACGTAAAGGAGAGGGATACTCAAACCCAAATGAAGGAGCAACAGTAGAAAGTAAGGTTTGCTGTGAGAGGGAGCGTGTCCTTAAAGGTGGCTTTCATTTATGTGGAGTAAATAGAGATTTTAAAAAATCTGCTCATAGAAATAAATATATTGAATGTATCTCAAGAATAGTTTTGAATTTAACACTTAACAATGGCTTCATTTAGTAAATGTTAATTCAAAAATGAATAAAATGTAATCCGTTCCATCAAATAATTCTCAGTCGAGGGACTCCTGAGTGGCCCAATAACTATACTGGTTGCCTTGCATATTTACTCATTATTTCTCACAATAACCTTAAGAGATAAGTTTTATTATCCTCAGATGAGAAAATGAGTTCAGAGATGTTATGTACAAAGTTACTAAACAGAGCAGTAAGTTATAATTCCCTTTAAGACTCTCAAAGCCATCTCACTGACTGTTATCAAGATTATAAAACAGGCCGGGCTCAGTGGCTCAGCCTGTAATCCCGCGCCTTGGGAGGCTGAGGTGAGTGAATTGCCTGAGCCTGCGGGTTCGAGACCCGCCTGGGCAACTTGGCGAGACCTCATCTCTACAATAAAAATCAAAAAAATTAGCCAGGCGTGGTAGCGCGCGCCTATAGTTCCAACTACTTAGAAGGCTGAGGCAGAAGGATCGCGGAGCCCAGCAGGTCGAGGCTGCGGTGGCTGGGAGTGTGCCACTGCACTCCAGTCTGGGTGACAGAGTGAGACTCCAGCTCAAAAAAAAAAAAAAAAAAAAAGATGATAAAACAGGTTGATGCAGTGGCTCATGCCTATAATCCCAGCACTCTGGGAGACCAAGGCAGACCAAAGTTCAAGACCAGACCAGCCTAAACAACATAGTAAGACCCCTTCTCTACAAAAAAAGTTAAAAATTAACTGTGCACGTTGGTGCATGCTTATAGTCCCAGCTACTCAAGATACTGAGGTGGGAGGATCACTTGAGCCCAGGAGTTCAAGGCTTCAGTGAGCTATGATTGTGGATGGGTGAGAGTGAGACCCTGTCTTTGGGGAAAAAAAAAAAAAAAAAAAAGGCCAGGCATATGGCTGTAATCAGAGCACTTTAGGCAGGAATGTGAGACCAGCATAGGCAACATAGCAAGACTCTATCTCTATAAAAAATTAAAAAGTCAACCAGGTATGTGGTATATACCTGTAGTCCTAGGACCTTAGGAGGACGAGACGGGAGGATTACCTGAGCCCAGAAATCCAAGGCTACAGTGAGCTACTACTACACTCCAGCCTGGGTAACAGAGTGAGAGAGACCCTGTCTCTGTGGAAAAAAAAAAGTTCATTTAAAACAGTAAAATAGAATAGTTTAATTATACTATTTTAGTCTCTCATATTATTTCCATAAGTATGGCAATTTAGTTCAAATTTTGTTATTTTTGGAAGTAGTTATAAATAGTACTACTATGCTGTTGCAGTTGAAGTGTTTAGATCATTGTCATCCAGGACAAGTTTTTGAATAAATGAAGAGCTTAGGTATGTTTTTGTTTTTGTTTTGTTTTTGAGTTGGAGTCTCACTCTGTCGCCCAGACTGGAGTGCAGTGGCCGCTCCCAGCCACCGCAGCCTCGCCTGCTGGGCTCCGGTGATCCTTCCGCCTCAGCCTTAGGAGAAGCCAGAATTACAGGCATGCGCTACCACGCCCGGCTGATTTTTTTGATTTATTGTAGAGATGAGGTCTCGCTGCCCAGGCGGGTCGAGCTTAGGTATGTAATATCGAAAAATAGCTCCAGACCAGGATCAGGGGTTCTAACTAGACCTTACCTCTGGACTTTAGCTTCTTTCCTATGCTGTAAGGCAGGGTTGGGCGCCTTGATTTCTAAGGTCCTGCTAACCCAAAAGATGCATGATAGAATTCTAGATGTTTATGAAAGTTATAGGAATGATAAGAAATTATCTTCACTGTACTGACAAGCATTTAGAAAGATTGATAATATATATTTAAATTTTTATTATGAAAAGATGGAATCCAAGGCTACAGTGAGCTACTACACTCCAGCCTGGGTAACAGAGTGAGAGAGACCCTGTTTCAAATGCATGTACAAGAGTAGAGGTTTATTCCTATGGATACAGGAACTCCCTGGATTCAACAATTTATATTATATATATTTAAACTGGAGACTTTTTGTCGACTAAATTAAGAGGAAGAACTTTTCCCAATTAGAGACAATACCATAAAACTACCACCGTAGAGATGACTGTGCAGCAGGCTAAATTAAATCTGATCTTTTAGTAATATTTTTGATGGAAGTCATTTTTCTAACTTTTTGTTTTGAAATAATTTGAGAATTACAGAAAAGCTGCAAAACTAGCATAGAGGGTTCCTTATATGCTTCCCTCAGCTTTCCCCTAATGTTAACATCTTACCTAACCACAGTACATTTATCAAAATCCGGAAATTAATATTAATGCAATACTGTTAACTATTCTACAGACCTTATTTGAATTTCACCAATTACCACACTACTGTCCTTTTCTGGTCCAGGATCAAACTCAGGTTCAGCATTGTATCTAGTTGTCATGTCTCTTTATTCTCCTCCAATTTTTGACAATTTTTCAGTGTTTCTTTGTTTTTCATTACTGATGCTTTTGAAGACAACTGGCCATTTTGTAGACTATTTCTCAATTTGGGTTTCTCTGATGTTTTGTGATTATCAGATTGAGGTTGTAAATTTTGGGGAAAATACTACTGTATGTCATGCCCTTCTCAGTTCACGACCAAGAGGTATGTGATATTGATGTCTCATTATTGGTGATGTTAGCTTAGATCACTGGGTTAGGATAGGATCTGCCATGTTTCTCTACTGCAAAGTTACTGTTTTTCCCTTGCAATGACAAGGTGTCTCATTAGAAAGGAGATATCAGCCGGGCTCGGTGGCTCAGCCTGTAATCCCGTGCCTTTGGGAGGCTGAGGTGAGTGGATTGCCTGAGCCCGCGGGTTCGAGACCCGCCTGGGCAGCGAGACCTCATCACTACAATAAATCAAAAAA